GAATATCGTTTTGAACATTACTTTTTGCTTATTTTTTAAATTTCTTAAAATTTGTAGTTATATACACATTTGTAAACTCCTAATAAACATGTAGACAAATGTTTTTTATATTAATTAAGCTTAGAATTGAGCCCTAAAGAAAACTCAAAAGAAATATTTTTCATTATTTCTTAACTCCACAAATAAATTGGCAAGATATTTGGGAAACCAGTACTTATGATTTCGTTTATATTTAGGAAGGATGTTTTAAAAATATATTTTTATTATTAACTTATCTCCATTAATATTTCTAAAAGATTTGGAACGTAGCATTTGCTAGTGTACAATATACCCCCAACAACGCACTGCTACAGCCCAACCAGCAAACAAAATTCGGATTTTTTTTTTCGTTTACTGATTCTATTTCCGAATATTTTGACAGTCCGTTTTGTCGCCCAAGTGTGCAAAATAAACGTTACGACTAGAAAAGTACTGAGAGTGGTTGCGAAACGGATACGTTTACGACTGTTTATCTGAAAAATTTCTGATTCTATTTTATTCGTTTAAAACGTTTTCATTTTGAACTTCACAGACGCTTTTTCATAGTTCGGTAAAAAACACTAATCCTTTTGTTGCTGACGGCATTCGAACCCGGGACGCCCTGAAAATTAACAAATAGTAGCACGAGCGTCTGCACACTCAGCTACTGTCGAATACATGTTTTCGAACGTGCAATTTGAACAAATATTTTAATTCGGATACGAACATGGTGAAATTAATATTTGAGCAGGCCACATTCACAGCTGGCACCACCGCTCCGTTCCAAAAAGGGCAAATGTATTTCAGAAAAAGGGCAAAAGTATTTCAGACAATAATTTTTTTTCAAGGAAAACTTTTGCAACGGCAAACCTACGAGTGTATTTCAACTTAATTTTCACAAAAGGGCAAATGAGCACAGCTGAGTAATAAAATAATACAGCAATCGAAAGAAACTATATCTACTGCAGATTGTGCTCGTGCTAATTGATTACTCATCTATTTTTTCGCAGATGCTTTGGCATTGCCTGTTGGTATGTAATAAACATAGATCTACATTCGTATTTATGTAATAAAAAAGGCCGTTACAAGCGCTGCGTTATTATAACTGGTTTCATCAATTAGTCGAAGGAGGAAATGATGGAAGGGTAGAGGATTAATTTATTATTATTATATTATATTTGGCCAATTTGTGGCGTGCGTCTTGATGTAATTACGCAAATGAAAGGACCCACAGGTTTACGCCACCTCCGAACGGAAAATGGATTTTATGAGAAAAACACTCGCAGGTTTGCCATTGCAAAAGTTTTCCTAGTTGAAAATATTTTTCTGAAATACATTTGCATTTTCCGGAAATACATTTGCACTTTTCTGAAATACATTTGCATTTTCCGGAAATACATTTGCGTTTTCCGGAAATACATTTGCCCTTTTCTGAAATACATTTGCATTTTCCGGAAATACATTTGCCCTTTTCCGAAATACATTTGTGATTTTCTGAAAATCATTTGAGCTTTTCTGAAATAAAATTGTGTGTTCTGAATTTCATTTAGCTTTTTCTGAAATGCATTTGGCCTTTTCTGAAATACTTTTGTGCTTTTCTAAAATACTGTTGGAAAAGGCGTAGAATGGCGGTGCCCTTAGTCTTGTTAGGTCGCTTCTCCGTCACCAAGATGCTGAATGTCGACTCCCTCTGCTGGACTGAATTAGGAGAATCTGATTGAGGAATGCAGGCGGCGAGTTTTCTTAATGGCATCCAACTGCGCAACGCGCTGAATGCATATGAAAAAGCGTTGCTGCAACAACCGAAAAGAACGGAAGATTTCCTGAGAGACCCGGAAAAGAAGGTTAAGGCCGAAGATGAAGCTGCCCTATCCCATCCAATTGGATGAACAACTCAACCCCATAAACAGAGGAGATGAGGCGTGCAACATGATTGAAAAGATAATTTTGAGTACTGTATATATTTTTCAGATTCTTCTAGAGTGCCTGCTTAACCTACTTTACTCTTCATAAATTTAAATATTTTAGTAAGTGATACATTTTTTCCTTTGAAGCCTTGAAGTGGTATTCGAATAGTCGCCCGCCATCGACTTTTCTAATAGTTGCTTTGCTTCGACTACTCGCGTATTGTAGCAAAGCGAATTTCAGTAGCCGAACTTTCATTGAAATTTTTCACAAATGAAAAAAAGCATATCGTTACCTAAAAGTCAACAGGTGCCAGGTCAATTTTTTTCAAAATTTAATTTTTATTAAATCGATTTTTCGCTTCCAAAACAATTTAAATAAATGGACTTGGCACCTTTTCACCCTTAGGTGACGTATGTATATTATATTCAAATACATGGAGGGTGGTGAACTTTTGTAGTATAATTTCTCCTTGCCTTCTCTGAACAACCACTTAACAAAAATCCATAAGAAAAATCGCGAAATATGAAGTAAGTGTTGCTTTAACCAGTGTCTTTAAAATAATCCGCAATAAAATTTCAATAATTAGCACACATTTAGCCGAAGCTTGGCACAATGAAAATTCAAACGATAGACCTAACAAGGCTAAGAACAAGCGGCTAGAGGGTGATGCAACCATCGCAACTTTCCAAAAAAAAAGGATCTCATAATATAGCCTTTAGCATTGATAACAAAGATTTAGTAATTTAATATGGTATTGAATTTAATTTTATTCCATAAAATATTTTGTTGCACAGACCTTTATTTCTTGCAAAAAAAGTTTGATTTATATATATATAACAGGAAATTTTTGAACAACGCCATATTTCAGAATTTGGTTGAAGAGCGCGATATTTTAGAATTTGATTGCCCTATTTCAAAATTCGATTCAAAAACGCCCTGTCTCAGCACATTTTCAATGCATGAATTTGTTTTGAGATAGGGCATTTTTGAACCGAATTCTGCGATAGGGCGTTCTTCAACCAAATTCTAAGATAGGGTGTCTTTCAATAATATTCTGAAATAGGGTGTTCTTCTATCAAATTCTGAAGTGGCTGTCGAGATAGGTCGATCCTCCACTCAGCCATCGATATGCAATATTAAATATTACGAATGTAACAAAACTATTCAAATTTATATACGAATAAATACAAAAAACTCGAACTTAAAATATTCGATTGACCGGAAATGAACGGTTAAACGAATAATCTAAAAGGGAACGGTTAATCGAATAGTCGACGGCTTTCGGCTACTCGAATATCGCTATCGATTAACTGTAGTCGACTTCAGTCATATTCGAATAATTCGGTTAATCGATTAACGGAATAGCCCGAGCTCTAGTACAGAGGAGTGTGCCGCTATTTGTTAACTTCCAGAAGGAGCCGGGTTCGAATTCCGTCAGGCGCTTCCTAATTTTATTTTATTTCTTTTGAACCATGAAAAAGTATCTGTGAAGTGCAGAAGGAAAGCGTATTGAACGAAATATTCAATCAGACAAGTTTCAGAAAAAAACCGCCGAAAACGTATCCGTTTCACACACTGCTGTCTGTACATACGTTCGTGCCGAATACTTTAGTGGGAAAACGGATCGTCAAAGTATACAGGAAATGGAATCAGTAAACGGACAAAAATCCGCACTTCATCCACTTTTTTGTCCTTTTTCGGATCGGTTTTCGGAATTTTTGATGGCTGGGAAACTCGTATTTCAAAACTCGAACACAAGTACTTGATTATTGGCCTGTTAAAAAGCCAAAGTTTTTCGCATGCCATGGCGTATGAGTTATCTAGCAATATCAACATTTAGGCCGGCTGAAAGAAAAATTTCAAGCCACTTGTCTGATAGCCTCTTGGAGGTTAAAAACTAAATTGCCCACATCTACATAAACTCTTTCGTTTTCATCAAAATCGTTAACGGTTGAGAAAGTATCTTGAAGCTTTACAACAAAAGCTAATATTTCCTTCTCTAACGGCGGTTTCACACGGGTTTTTGTCAAGACTGGGCCAAAGTCGAATATTTTGTCATCACACGAGTTACACCAAATTTTACGTTACTAATATGTGTTCTAAAAGTGAAACAAATCTGATCATAAATATGCTTTTTTAGGATAGTTCTCAATCCCAGCGGCACCTATCGAAAGGCAAACACACTGATCCTTCTAAAAACCTTTGCACAAAACAACAATCATTCAATGCGATTTTAAAATCTGGGAGAAAATCGTTCACAATTAAATGATTCTTGCGATTTTATATGTGTATAAATGTAGGTGTATAAAATTCCATTACCTTATAGTAAGCTGTTCCAGAGATAAGCGATATGAGAATTTCAGTTTGTATGGGCGGTGCCACGACGCCTTTTCCAAAATCTACCATATTTCGCCGTAAGTACGGTATTGATAACATATGTTGCTGTGTCAAATTTCAGGGCGTTAGCATAAGCGGTTACAGAGATAAACGATATGAGAATTTCAGTTTGTATGGGCGGTGCCACGCCGCCTTTTCCAAAATCTACCATTTTTCGCCGTAAGTACGGTATTGATAACATATGTTGCTGTGTCAAATTTCAGGGCGTTAGCATAAGCGGTTCCAGAGATAAGCGATATTAGAATTTCAGTTTGTATGGGAAGTGCCACGCCCACTTACCCAGTACATACCATTTTTCACTGTAAGTAAGGTACATACAATCTATGCATCTGTGCTAAGTTTCAGTGCCCCAGCATAATTGATTTTATAGATATAGTGGTTTTCACCTTTTAGTCTATATGTCAGATGCCACGCCCCCTATGTATCGGGATTAACATTACTGGATTAGAGAAAGTTATGCCCGTTAAATCGGTATATATTTCATTGAAATCGAGCGAACGGTGCTTTCAAAAAAGGGATTGCAAGAATTTCTTGTGGCGTATTTATATATAGATAATTAATTATTAATGGCTGGGTTATGTAAGAAAATTAAAATAATCATTAAAATTAAAAAATGCAAAAAAAAATTAATGATTACTAATCGTAATGGAAATTTAACAGCGCTGTTTTTTTGTACCAGTACCAAATTCAAATTTAATCGATTTAAAAACGGCATCTCTAATGGATTTATGTATACTTATGGCGGCCGTTGTGATGTAGTGGTTAGAAGTGCGCACTACCAAACCGCAGAG